CGTTACGTTGATATCCTGCCATGTGAGTACATCAGCATTTATGTATTTAAATTTTGACAGCCATAAAGCTACCAAAAGCATACTTCTGTGTCCGAACAAAGTAGAAATTCTACATAGATTAAATATGTACTTTGTATCTTGCCAGATGATCACAATCGTGTCCAGATGTCTTCAAGTGCTGATGGGTCAGATTACATCAATGCCAGCTTCATAGACGTGAGACAAGTGATATTTATTGATTTAGTTGCTTGCTTGTTTATAAAAAAACACATTAGCTGCATTTAACGCTGAACATAGATGCAATTTCTCAACCACATGCATGTTTGTAGGGCTACAAGGAAGCAAAGAAGTACATTGCTGCTCAAGGTAAAGATTTTTACAGGATTGTATGTCATAATATTGAGATTAAGACCTGTATGCATTCTAACTGCAAAAGGCAACAGTGATACCCACTGAGCAACAATGTTGCCAAAATTAAATATAGCTTGAATATGTCTGTCTGTCTAATTATCTATCTATGTAAATTTCATAAAGTAAAACACTTTATAACAGGCAACAACACTGTAATTCAACTCCAGAGCTAAAATCAAAGGGAAAAAAGGTGGCATCAGTGAGCTCCTAAGTAAATTAATTGGTACAGACTTCATCACTAGGACCCAGTACAGGATAAATGGTTGATGGATGCAATAGGCTTCATGGACGTCATTTCCCCAAAAAACACATGCATTGTAACTTTCAAGGGCCTAAGAATGAGACTGTGACTGATTTCTGGAGAATGGTGTGGGAGCAGCAGTCATCTATAATCGTCATGGTGACCCGCTGTGAAGAAGGAAACAGGGTAAGCAGAGTAGATACATAATGATCTAATGTTCATCATGTGCTGGTAATTACACAAAACACACATATATATGCTGCTGATGAGTGAGTGTACTGTATACTGCATGTCATTTGCTTTGCTGTAAACTTGATTTCAAGTGTAAAGATTGCACAGTGGTTATGGAAATTTTAGGTTTTTCTCTATGAAAAGGCAGAATGATTATGGTTTTTTTCAGTTTGTAAGACACTTTCCCAAATAGAATTTTGATGATAATTTAAACAATTTGAAACTAGGATTCATTGGGTCACATATCCATAAATAACTAGGTTACACTTAACTTAAGCTTTTACCCTCATAATACCAACATATTTACCAGTATATGGACTACCAACTGGGGTCCCTGGGAACAATTTACTGTAAGAAGCAATCATAATAGCAAAATAATTATAATAGCAACACTTATTTCTTCTCAAAGCATTATTACTTATGTAATTAATGTCATCTAAAGAAAAAAATGGATTATTATTATTATGGCAGTTGCAATTAATTTGCATATTTTGTAAAACAAAAATCTATACTTTTCGTTAATACAACTTGCAGTTTTGATCCTAAGTACAATTCATATTATTACTTAAAGGCTTTTATACCCTCCTTTGATGGTATCACTTACTTTTAGTTGACATTATTTGTGTTGTATTTATATGATGAAACCAATCGGGGTCATTTTGACCTCAATATAAAATTATTGAAATAACCACACAGTACTCTATTTTGATGATCTAAAACAAAGTGTAAAGTGCAAAGCACAACTAACATTTATGGGTGTGTACAAATCCATTTCGCTATTTTGACAGCAGAAAGAAACAGACTTTGCACCAGCGCAAGGTGCACAAAGGTTGTCCTATCTTAATTATTCAGAGGCGTGTTTTGGGCGTAACACGCAATGAGCCAATCGGAATGGCGCGTCACCTCACCTTTAAAAGGCAGCGGCACATGATCTACTGGGGATTGCTAGTACAATGGCGCGTCATCTCACCTTTAAAAGGCAGCGGCACATGATCTACTTGGGATTGCTATTACAATGGCGCATTTGCCTGGCAAACAAGATCGCTTTTCGCCCGAGGAAATGGACGTGCTCTTGTGCAAGGTGTGCGAGTGCGAGTTTATTGTGAAACTTTGTTTGGCATCAGCTTGTCAGTTTAGCATCGCACCTTCTACTCCTCTAATACTGTATGTCCTCATTTATGTCCAACACACATCCATCACACATGGCGATGTTATGCAACACAGAACATGCCACAAAGAATGCTGTAAACCTCTGGCTGTATCGTAATGTTCCACCTTACATCTAAAAATGTGAAACGCATTTTCATCAATCCAAATGTCCTTTCAATTACAGTACCTGCTTAATTCTGATAATTAACGCAAATGATTTCTTTTAATGATATGATTTATTCTTTACTTTATATATTTTTTTCCTATGGTGTTTCATTGAACAGTATGATTATGTGAAAGGACCAGATGTACAATATAGCCTAATAAAACACATATAAATACAACACAATAAAATAACAAAAACCATTAGCGCACCTCTTGGGCATACCTGTGTCTGTAACGAGCATCGTGCACCCGCACCTCTCTAACACTGTGCTGCATCTATGTCTGTTTTCCTCAAAATGACTGACAGAGTCTCCCTACCCTCCTTCATACTGTGCCACTTTAAGTTAGGACCCATAGCAAACATTAACTCAATAAATAGTTCCATTTATTAACACTGGGTGTTACTTTCCTTTTACTTTAAAAAGTTCTAATCAAAGCAGAAGTAGAAAACAATGATGTGACATCATTAGAAACAAACTGATTGACAAAGTCATAAAAAAATGGAATAAAAAAGCACAACCAGGTGCAGACTGAAACAGACTGCAAGGCGCAGACCGATAAACCTACGGAGGATGGTCCCAAAGATCCCAAAGAGGAAGCAATGAAGGATGGTGCCAAAAAAGACAATACCCTGTCAGCCCCGTGTCAGTAGGATGAAGGAAATGTTACAAGTTGACACATTAAATTAAATTTGAAAAAAGTTACTAAAATAATTGTAATCCTTTTTTTTTTAGAACAAATGTGCTCAGTACTGGCCATCCCAGGAGAGAGACACCGAGATTTTTGAAGAGTTCATTGTGAAAATCAACGGAGAAGACCACTTTCCAGATTACATCATTCGACGCCTTTGTGTCACAAATGTAATGATTTGTTATTTTTAATTATAACAGTATCCTTACAGGTGGTGTAGAGGTCAAAAGTGAAAATTATGATGTTTGACATATTTACAGAAGAGGGAAAAATCCACAGAGAGGGACGTGACCCACATCCAGTTCACCAGCTGGCCGGATCATGGGGTTCCTGGGGAACCTCACCTTCTCCTCAAGCTGCGTCGATGTGTCAATTCCTTCAAAAACCTCTTCAGTGGACCCATCATTGTCCATTGCAGGTAAGAGGTCATAATGGAGCAGTAACACCAATGAAACAGCAATTACAACGGCATTGTGGGCCAGGTTTTTAATCAATCATAGCAATGCCCTTATCCCTTAATGACAATGACAGCATGGCTTGGACACTTGAGGGAGAACTTGTGAGGGACTTATAAGTTACACAATGTTCTTTGGAGAACTTCAAAGATATTTTATTATGCTGAAAATAAATTAATAAAACCCAATGTAACTGTTACCCCCAATATTTCAAAATGTTTTTAAAAGATATTTTATCTTCTGCTTGACTTCCGTTTAGTGCTGGAGTGGGACGCACAGGGACCTATATTGGCATAGATGCCATGATGGAGGGACTGGAAGCAGAAGGAAGAATGGATATTTATGGATATGTGGCCCAGCTTCGACGTCAGAGGTGCCTCATGGTGCAAGTGGAGGTAACAGAAGTATGGAATATGAAGCCAAAGTAAATAAAAACATAGAGAATGATATAGAATTCTGACACTGTTGGTGGATGTTTCTTCTGGCAGGCCCAGTATATCTTGATCCACCAGGCTCTCATTGAACATACTCAGTTTGGTGACACTGAGATCCCTCTCTCTGAAATGCACTGTACACTGACGACATTGAGGCAGAGGGATTCGGATTCTGAACCCACTCTTTTGGAAACCGAATTCCAGGTCAGTCAGCAACACAGCAGAGGGTCAGCATTAGTGACTACAGCTTCATTCTGAAGCTTTTGTGTGTATTGCTGAAAGAAGCGATTGGCAAGACGGAGATATACTGGCAACAATTTTTATCCAACAGTGATGTGTAGTTTTACAAGGAATTATGTTTTCCATAAATAAGTTTTCATTTTTTTTTAATCAATGGGGATATCTAATAATGTCTTTGAGAGTATCATTTTATTGATTATCGTTTGTTTATACTCTGTTCTTAATTTTGTCCCCTGATTTTAGAGGCTGCCAAAGTACAAAAATTGGCGGACACAAAACACAGGAATAAGCGAGGAGAACAAGAAGAGAAATCGTTATTCCGCTATTGTTCCATGTGAGCCTGATTACTGATTTATTGAAATTAAAGCACACAGATGTTTTAACACTTTGCTAGTGTTGGTCTGCTGGTACTAAAACACATACTCTGCATAAAAATGTTTTGCAGATGATTTCAATCGAGTCACTATAAAATGCGAGGAAGAGAACAGCCATGAAAGTGAACAAGATGAGGATGAGGATTATTCAACTGACGAAGATGATGATGAATCTACCAGATATATAAATGCCTCATACATAGATGTATGTTCATACCATTAAGTGGACATCATAATTTTAAAGTAAAATAAATTTCATTCATTTGTTCTATATAGAATTGTGCATGTATTAATAAAATGCCTTTTGTCATTTTATTTAGGGATATTGGGGCCCAAGGTGTATTATTGCTACTCAGGGTCCTCTTCCAGACACCAGGGCAGACTTCTGGCTCATGATATTCCAGAAGAAAATCAAGACAATTTTCATGCTTACAGAGTGCATGGAGGAGGGCAAGGTATGTAAAAATGGTGAATTACCCAGCTGTGTCATTATTCATTTTAGGCACTGGAACAATTGAAAATTTTTACTTCTCTCATGATATTTTAGGAGTTCTGTTCACCATACTGGAGTGATGAAAAGAAGGTCTTTGGAGATCTTGAGGTAGAAGTGAAGGACTGCAATACCTGTCCAGCATACCAAATTCGCTGTGTTGAATTACGTCACTTAAAGGTAGCTGTCATTTTTGTCCCATCTCTCTGACATTGAACTTGGAGCCTCCTTATAAATTGAGGACACATTTAACCTAATGTACCTTTGCAGAAGAAGGAGAATCGCAAGGTGTACCAGTACCAGTTCCAGCAGTGGACGGAAAAGAATCTTCCGCAAAATCCAAAGGACCTGATAGACATGATGAGGACGGTTAAGAAAAAGACCGAGTACGACACAATCAGACCTGAGAGGAACGTGCCTATTGTGGTCCACTGCAAGTGAGTAACTTTATCTACCTTCTTAAAATGCTCTGCAGCTCGAACTGGGTCAAAGTCATGCATTGCTACTAATAACATTTGACTTGAATAATATTATAGAACCTTATTTTGAGATTGCTTGTCTGTTGTAGTTTTTCCTGTCATAATTATTGTGCTGTCAGTTACCATCCCTTTGATGTAACGACAACAATAGTATAATTACATAATATAATACTAAATGCTACAGTTTCTTTCTGCCATGTTAGTGATGGATCAACTCGGACGGGGCTTTTCTGCGCACTCTGGAACATCCTAGACAGCGCTGAAACAGAGAAGGTGGTTGACATGTTCCAGGTGGTGAAAACGCTGCGGAAGGAGAGGCAGGGAGTGATACTGAGCTTGGTGAGTCAGTGATTTCAAAAGAAAGACTATCGTCTGGTGTTACATTACGGGAAGCCAAATGATTTTATTTCTGCTGGGAAGTTTGTTTATTATAGCATTATATAGAATCATAGCATATATTGTATATCATGTTAGATTAGCATTATAGATTTTATTCCAAAGTGGATGTATACCGAAGTACCACTGTATATGAAAAATACTTAAATCAACCTGAAAATGATTTTGTTCTTTATTTATATTGATTTCAGTTTTAAATTAATTTTTTTTTCAGTGCACACAACAAATTACCATGGTCTCATGTACCACTGAGGAACTTGGGTGGTAAACGTACAAAAGTTTGAGAACCAATCATCTTCATAAATATTGTATGATTGCTGGTGCTGGATGTGGCTGCATGTCAACCACCATCATCAGCAACCAGCCTTCATGTTTTTTGCAGTGTCTAGAATTTACAGACAATGTTGCAATAAAAAACAAACATTCATTACCCCTTATTGCTTTGTTAAAGAAAGGGATCAGAGGAGAATGGCCAGATTTGTTAAACATGAAGGCCAGAAGTGTAAAATACCAGCTCAGTACAACAGTGGTGTTCAGAAAGGCTTCCATGAACATGCAACTTGTCAACCATTCAAGTGATTGTAGACAGGGACGGATTATGGGTTGTGTGGGCCCCTGGGCAAAACGTTTGCGAGGGCCCCCCTCCCCTCCCCCCAGAAGCCAGGGGCCCCATGGTAGGGGCCCTTGTAATCAGATGGCCCTCTAAAGGTACACTACACCCTCCTCCCTAGGGCCTCCTAGTAGGGCCCTCTAAAAGCCCCCAAAGCCCCCATCCTCCCTAGGACCCCCTGGTAGCCAGGACCATAATAGGAGGGCCTAAGAGGGCCTTCTAAAAGTAGGCTCCCATGCACCCATTTCCCTTTAAAGTTCCTATAGCAGGGCCGGGGGCCCCCTGAAAGCACCGACCCCCCCCCCCCCCCCCCCACCACCACCACAACCACCACAATTCAAGGGCCCTTGGCAGCCAAACGCCCTCCCTCCATGTTTCCATCAGAGGCCCTATAGGGTCAGGGGCCCTTGTAGGCAGAGGATCAAAGAATGTAGGCCCTCTAAAATAGACAAACGAAAATACATTGTTGATAAGCTTTGCAAATTGTTTTGGGCTAGGGGCCCCACGGGCCCCCTGCACCCCAAGGGCCCCTGGGCAGCGGCCCCGCTGGCCCGGTCCGTAATCCGTCCCTGATTCTAGAGACAAAAATGGGTTTTAACAAGTTCTTTTTTTTAATTCTCTCCCAAATCTTCCCTCCTGCCAGGACCATTATCAGTTCCTCTATGACATGGCAGAGAGCGCCTTCCCTGCCCAGAACGGTGAAGTCAAGCAAAACTCAGCCAAAGGAGCGGACTTTGTGGACATAGTGGATGAGACGAAAGAGGTTATAGAGCCGAAGAGCAGTGCTACCAAAGCTGGCCAGCAGGGGGACACTGAAGAAGAGGCCCTGGTGCAGAATGAATCAGACAGCAAGGCGGAGGCTGAGAAACCTACAGAGGATGGTACCAAAGATCCCAGTGCTATCAAGAAGGAAGCCATGGAGAATGATATCAAAGATCCCAGTGCTGTGAAGGGGGAAGCCGTGGAGAATGATATCAAAGATCCCAGTGCTGTCAAGGGGGAAGGAATGGAGGAAGGCGTCGCTAATGGTCCCAGCGTAAGTGTGGAGAATTAGGAGAAACATATTTCCTGTACAATTAATTTTTTTCAGTGTGTGATATATTCTGTCATGAAAAATATGTATGGAGGTTTTGCTAAGTAGTAATTTTCCTCTTTTATTGTGCAACTTTTTTTCTGTGAATATTTGTTCCTGCATTTAAAAATATGAATGTAATGTAAATTTAACGTGAATTTTGGTACTTCAGTAATCATGTGTATATTATAATATAATATACAATACAAAGTCAAACATAAATGCCAAACTTTGCACCACTATGTTATAATCAAACTATATTTTAAATGTTTTTAAGTACCTTTTGAAATGATCAGCTTTGTTTTACTGCAAATGGGATGCTGAATATTTGAAAATAAATAAATAAACTTAATTCCAAATAATTTTTTCCATTGGTATTTTTGGAACATGTGTTTTTGTTTAGTTTGTACTTGATGTATAGAACATGCTGACTCATATAATTAGGACTGATTAGGAGTTGCATGACTTTCACTTGCTTCCACAGGCAATCACTAATTTTCCTATTTTTCACATGTCAAAAGTCCATAAATTAGACCCACATTTAGACAATTAGATAAGAAAATGATTCAAAATTATATGTAAAATATCAGAAACCTGAAATAATAAGAACCAGAAGATTGCATAAATAGGTAAGAAATGAATGCACAAAATGTGATCCAGATTATGGGATTTGTTAATTTATTAATCTGATCTGGTCCAAAGTAGATTTCAGACTCCATCAAATGCAGTTCCGTAAAAGCATGCCGCATCTCACACTGCATCTCACACTGCATCTCACACTGCATCTCACGCTCTACCTGATTCCAGTGGCCAGGATGTGCCTCACTTACTTTCACAGAATAACTGTCCCATTAAAAAACACAGACATACGCTGCTCAGCTCTGCCTTCTTCCTGCCCACCTGTTAGGCAGGGTTGCCAGGTTTGCAGGCTTTACCCCAAACTGGGCCAGTTTAGAAACAGGGTTGCAGATGAAAAAAAAGGTTACGGATGGAAGCTTTTTGGGACTAGTTCAAAATAGACCACGTTTACATTAGAAGATTGTGCTTTTAACCAGAACAATAAAAACAAAATGTGGTAATTTTCCATCTACATTACATAAGACATGTAAATAGGCCTGTGACGATGACTACTTCTGTTGGGTGATATACTGTATTGTCTCAGAAATAATTGCGGTAAACAATATTATTGGCATTTTAGGATCATTTTATGCCACTGATATAATGATAATAGCATAAGGATGCAAATACACCCTTTCAAACATCAATGGTGTTTTAATACTTATTTGGAATGTCAAAGTCATGTGTGCCCTTGCCTGTGAACCCTGTCCAATCCTCGCGTGTTATTATATAAATTACCCACCATGTGTGTACCTTACCGTCTGGCATCCAACCTCTTTGTGTTTCCCTGTTCTGGTTTGATTCTGCAGTTGCTTGGTGCCTGTGTTAGTCTTTAGAAGGGCTTAACAAAAGGATGTTATTTCTCCGTGAAAGAAGCTTCCTGGTTTCTTGCCACCACGGTGATGTATTGGTCTGGCTGACATGATACTGGTGTCATGAGTCAGATTCCTTGATGTGGCCCCCTGCCATTACTGGAGCAGGTCCTAATGGACCTGACTCTGATAGCCCGCTCCAGCTTGGCAGACCTGTGAGTGGCTGTAGAGTGGCAGAGGGAAAGAATCAGAAGTGGCCGTTTTACATTAGACTCTGAAATAGGAAAGCCCTTTGCTGATGCTGCAGGGAAAGGGGTTACTGACCATGGTTTTGTCCCAGCAAGAGAAAAGACTTTGCTGGATTTGGGGAACAGAAGAAATTTTACTAGTTTTTATTGTTACCCTTAATTTGCATATGTTGTAATGTTAAATTGTGCTTTTTGTTCTGCGCAAATATGCACTTACTACCCAAACAAATAATAAATAAATATTTTTCTAATGACTGCCTAAGACTTTTGTACAGTACTGTACGTTTGACTGCCTCATGGTTGTCTTAACTGAAGAAAGATGAAAAACCACAAAAATGCCTAAATGTACCTCAGAGACTTTATTATATAATTAAAATGTTAGATTATGTTAACTAATCTAAAGATAGTGAGAAAACAGTTAGGACATACTCTTGTGGCACTCCTTCCAAATAACTTCCTGGTACCCTGATTTGTCAAAATACTGGCACACTTCAGAAGGCATTTTACAGCCAGTGTGCATTAACACTCAACGCTTTCCATGTGCTCGTGTCTAAAACCAGGACTTGCTTTGGGATAACAGGCTGCTGCACTGAGCTCTTATTGCTGTTCCTTAACGATTTTGATAAATCAATAAGTCGTTCCAGCCTTGTTCATCAGTGGAAGAAATTGCTCAGAGCTTGTTAAAATGGTGTGACAAATTAGTTCTTGAAAATAAATATACAGTAGGCCTATTATTCCTATTACACCTTTTTTGGAAGGTGGTTAAGCTAAAAATGATCCAGTACAAATAATTAGCACAAAAAAGCCAGTAGATTATTATCTTTATGAATATTTCTGTGATAACCCCGAGGCATGGTATTCTCTATATTCTGTAACTGCTTAGTTGTCTCAGGTGAGAACCCTAGAAACAGAAATTATTTGTGTTTTATTCAAGAATATAGATGCTATTAGTCATTTTAAAATTCTATAAACCATCACTGCACCTCTGAAAGGGTTTTTAGTAACGATTTGAATTATTACATTGTTGGGAGTTTGAGATCAAATGGTGTTTAAACAATCTCATGTGTTCATCACTGCTGAAGCGGTTACCACAGATGGTGCATCTTGCAGAAGTTCACACCTTTCTGCTTTGTGTATGAGGTAAAGGCTGGTACTGATTTCATTTCAGAGAAAACTGCCTGAGTGTTTCTTAAACGGTTTGATTAGGTTATTACAAAATTACAATGTAGACATCGATGTCAGAAGTCACATAGCTTAAGAAAATTGCAAAATATGTATTTTGCACTAAATGTAAAATACATTGCCTTTGCATGATTTAATAATAATTTAATAATTATTAATAACATTAATAATACTTGACGATAAGTAGATTTCAGTTAAAAACAAAATTGTACAGGAAGATGATTAATGTTAGCTTGACATCTTTTGCAGGGATGATCGATAGACTATTGGTTATACACAATTCGAGACTGCTCTGCAGAGGACATTTGTTATCAATAAACTCACTTGAAAAACATATTTAAAAATATCAGAATGCTGAAGTAAAATGTTTTGATCAAAAACATAAAGTGTGACCCATGTTAGCAGTGAAGTTACTCTCTACAGCCCAGAATGCATTTCCTCCACAGTGCAGCTTTCCACTGCGGCCTTCTTCAGTTAGGCAGCTGAGCCTCGCCTTGCAGAAAGCGTGCAGCTCGCAGGCTTCCCCTTGAGAACAGAGCAAAACCACATCCTGGCACCATTTCATTCTTCAGAAACACACTTTCATAGACAGTCATCCATTTGCTAACTTATGTAGCATTGGCCAGTAGCAGATATGCATTGGGGGGGGCTCCCTCTGCTATTTACAAAGAAAAAACAATCAAAAATATGGATTCACCACATTATTTTCCTAGCTGATCCTACAATCAAATCAACATTCCTTCCAGTACCTGTTATGAACCTCGGCTCATAAGATAGCATTTGGTGTGACACTTTTTCCCCAAACTCTCCTGACATCAGTAAACACAATCTCACTGGTTTACTACAATAAACCTTTCATTGCCAGATGGAAGTCAGGGGTTGGCTATGGTGAACATAACAAATAAAAATCCATACTAACCCATACTAACTGAAAACAATAGTTCACTATCCTCTGCAGGCCATGTGGTCACTGCATTTGCAGAATGTTTGCTCTAGTGAGGGGAGAGGCACCCCCATAATGCTCTTCGCTGTGTTCACTATCCTCTGCAGGCCTCGTGGTCACTGCTTTTGCAGAATGCTTGTTCTAATGAGGAGACAGCGGCCTTTCTTCATTAGGGAGGTTGTGTTGTTGGTCGGCATAAGGTCCTTGGTTATGTGCACACCAAGGAACTTGGTGCTCTTTACAATCTCCGCATATTTCAATGAGAAGATTTACTGTAAAGATCAGAAGAGTAACTGAAAAGTTATTTGCTGTTAAGAGATTAGTTGTGTGATGATTAAGCAAAAAAATGGCACAGAAAGTTTGCATTTGTATTTGTAATTTGTTTATGTATATGTGTCTTTTTGGAGTATTCTTAGTGAGCCTCTAGTTACTGGTAGCCTTAGCTCTCTTAGATGTATTCTTTTGTTAATTTAAGAAACATGATTGGACAAGCGGGTATAGAAAATGAATGGATAGATTGTATGACCTGCTGCTTCCTACACAATGACAACATGCTCCACTAGATGTCAGTATTATACAACTGATTTTACAGAACAACAAATACATTTGTAGAAGCTCAATTTGTCTAATTTACATATAAATGCAATATTAATATCAATGATCTTATGTTGTCAATGCATTAAGTATTTTCTGGTAGGTGAAACTGAATAACACTCAATAGGTCAAACATTGATTTTAAAAGTGCAGTGATATTGTAAGCTTTTTATTACCTCTGCTGCTATAATACTATATATTTTAATTTATCACCCTTCAGTTCGCTGCCCAGAAGAGGGTTATTGGGAACCACCCCTAGAGCCAGGCCTGGGGGTGGTGTTCCCAGTCAAGCACCTGCTGGCTAAGCCACCCACGAAACCTGGATGTTGAGCGACCTTGTGGGCTCACTACACACAAGATGAAAGATGGATGTCAGATGCAGTGTCACTTAGGTGGTAAGCATGAGCAGGAGGAACTCAATGGCAATGGACACTGACTGACATTTCTATTGGTGAAGTGAAGGACAGTGAGAGTACCAGCTACATATACAGTGGAACCTTGGACCTCGAACGCCTCTTAACTTGACCAACTTGGACATTGAACGGGTCTGTTCAATTTTTTTGGAGTTGTACCCTGACAGAAATATTGGAAATCTTGCTAAAGATTGTATGGGTCGAGATGCACTCATCTCTACCAGGTCGGTCGAGAAAAATCTAACCACAACTCGACTGAAAACTGGGAACAGAACAAAACAAAACAGGCCTGGTAAAACGTGTATGGATCAAGATGCATGTCTGATGGGCTGAAACAAAGGCAAACGTACCTACAGGGATGCTGATGCCTATGGAATCACTCTCAGTCTCACAGTACTGAGAGTGATTCACATTGCTGTGTTCGGTGTGAATTTGCTTTATCTACAGTACATTTAGTGATGCAGTAATCATGGCGCTTAAGAAAGTGAACAGTGACAGCAGCAAACCAAAGACAAAAGTGTCACGGTGGGGGAAGGATGGAGGCGAAGGCAG